ACCCCAAACAACTTCTAATAAGTAGTATTAAAGTATCATATGTAATTGTTTATGCATGGCTCTGAATTAATGACGTAAAGTAATTATCTAATGGGTTGGGTTTTCCTCTAATTCAAGATCTAGGCTAGTGGGTGATGTTCAAGTCTGTGAAGCGCATCATAAGTCTTATTTTGATTAATCTAAAGTGTTCATTTTATAAGGCTGTTCATTTATATATATATATATATCAATAAAAAAAAGGAAACTTTGTTGATGAATAAGCTATAGACAAACAAAAAGCATACATCAATAGAGAAGGGGGGGGGAGTGCATCGAGTATCATAGCTAACCACAACAATCCCAACTAGGTTGGCACTGAAGGGTCGATGCCAGCACTTAACCCAAAATTGGAGAGAGACCAATCAAAGAAGAATTAGATCGATCCAATAATCGTAGCTGTAACAAGCACCTAACAATTCAATAAGTTCCAAATTTTTATTGAGATTAATTATAATTATATGTCAATAATAATGGACATCACGATTGTATTAAAATTTTCATAGATAATAACATGACTTATCGTAATATCTTTATTTTCAATAAAAAAATAACCATTATTAATTTCATAATTTTAAAAATGTCATTGATATTTCACTCTAAATAATATTTTATAATTCTTTTTATTTAAAATAATTTCTTTATATTTACACAAAAAAAAAATTATTCCAAAATCCAGGGGGACACGTGACCCCCCTTGGTGTAGTTGTGGCTCCGCCACTGCGTGGGGCACATCATGAGTCTCATTTTGATAATTTAAATCGTTCATTTTGTAAAATCCTTCATTTATATTATTCAGAAGAAAAAAAATTAGATCAATCGAATAATTGTAACATTCTCAATTTATTGCATTTGTCACCCAAAAAATAAATACATAATCTATTTTCAAAATATACTAGCCGTCCACTTTTTGGCGACAAGCGATAAATAGAATATATTATAATTATCAAATCGACATAATCTTTTTTATGAGTAATATACCTTATAAAATGAATAATTTTAATAAAAAATAAGACTTAGATGAGACTCACGAGTCTGAACAATATCTTCCCATCCAAACCTTTATCTAATCTTCGTGAAACGCCATGTTGGTGATTCCTATCAGGGCTAAAATAACTCATCGCTACTACATGATATAATACAGATCTCATATGTAAGACAAAATATGTACTTTTAATATTATATGTTTATTAAATCATTAAATTTTACCATACAATTTGAGACATAAATCTCATTGCGAGATACATGATATTTTTCTTTATTACCAAATGATTTATTAAATGATTAACTTTTAGACCATCTCCAATGTTGAATAAAAAATTTCATTAAATCTTAGTAAAAATTTGATGAAAAATTTAGCTTGATAATATTCACTCCAACACTAAAATTAGAATTTTCAGCAAATTTTTTCACATCTTTGTTTGTTCAAGAGAACGTCCAGACAGATGTCCTGGAAGTCGTCTAGACATGAACAAAAAAGCTGTTAAAGCTGCTTTTGGGTGGACATGATGGTGGACATCCAGATGTCCAATCCAACGGTAACAATTTAAATTTGATGAAAGATGAAAGGCTCCCGTTATTTGATGAAAATTTGGTTTTTCCTGTATTTGATATGAACATGGTAAAAAGGTTGGAGCACCAAAATGAGGCGTTTTTTTTTTATTAAATTCAAATTTAATGAAAATAGAGTCTTAATGTTGCATTAATCTTCTTGGAAAAATTATGATGGCACAAAACATTTTCATTAATTTCTCTCCCGAGCAAGCAGTGTAGTAGTAAGAATTTGATGATCAGGTTTATTTTTCACAACATATACTCAACTGTTAGAGTGAGTGTTTTTTTTGTACTGTGCTATTTTAGCACTGCTAAAGCTTACACCAAAATACTTCATTACTGAAGAGGCTATGGTTTGTATGCAGAGACTAGCGTCTGATTTCCTTTCAAACTACATATTCTTAGCTGTTCAAAGCGTTGGTTCAAGTACTGATTTGATTGTTCAAAGAGTTGAATTTGTTCTTGACTCTGACAAGAGAAGCCACCTCATGGACTAATTTAGTGATAGTTTATCTTCATGCTGCCTAAATATGCCATTGCAGCTGTGTGGTACTATGTGATAATTTATATTCTTGTCTTCCCTCAATTATGTTCATAGGAACTAATTTAGTGACAATTGGTTGGTTACAAGTTAAAACTGGAGATGTGAAAGGCAATGCAGAGCTACGGGTGGAACTTCAAGAACGTCGAATTGCTTGTGAACATCTCACACAACGCGCTGTAGATGCTATTCTCTGAGATTCAGCGAGTAGGTTCAGTTTAAATAACTGGCCTAGCAAGTAATATGAGGATTTTAAGTTGTGATTGATTTTATTTATCTTTTGCTGTCTCAGATATACAATGAACAAATCGGAGAATTAATTGATCCAACCCAACGAAACCTAGAGGTGGGTATTACTCTATCTCTCTCTCTCTCTCTTCAATACCTTTTTGGATTACTTTTATGTGTGCTTAATGGTGGTTAAACTGCTGCAGATAAGGGATGATACCAAACATGGATTTTATGTTGAGAATTTGACCGAGGAATATGTGACCTGTTATGAGGGCATAACCCAAATATTAATTAAGGTAGTAAATAATAAGGCATTCAAGTTTTGTTCTTTTTTCCATGAGCATGTTTCTTGTTGTTTATTGAATTAGTGCTACAGATTGCTACTTGTTGATACTTCATGGATAAATTTTTAAATTTTTAAATTTTTAACTTGTGGGGAACATTAGAGTCCAGGAATGAAAATTTATGAGTTGCTGTTAATGATCAATTTGTGGTGTTTCTTATCCCTTTGGTATTCTTTACAGGCACGAAGCTGAGCTTGCTGCAACGGCTAGCCAGCCCCTTCCTGATGATGATGACGATGCATTTGACTAATGCTCATGGCTTTGGCTTTTTGCTATCATTTTTTGTGCTCCTTTAGTTAATATGAGCAATACAAAAAAAATTTCAACGCTATCGAAGGATTTGTGTATGAGAGGTGAATGTATCGCGGAGAAGAGACCATTTTAGTTATTCTTTAGCCATTGTTTCAAGTCTGGTTGTGGTTGTGCTTTGTGGTAGAATTCTTTAGGCTGCCATATGGATGTTTTGAGTCACTTCAAATGTTTGCTTCAAGATTTTAAATTATCTATGGATTTAAATTATTGACGTTGGATTAGACTTGGACTGTATGGAATTTGTAATATATATAGAATTGGACGTTAAAGATTACTTTTTTGGATGCTTGGAACTGAAATGTGTGCACGTTGTTGAATGCTTTAATGGTTGATAATATATTTTAGTGTTGATGGATTATATTGTTTTATACAGGGTACAGGTTGTAATATAAATGAATACAGGTTGTTTACAATTTTTTTTTTTTTAAAAAAAACAAAAAAAAAATTATTTGGCCACCAAATGTTTTGGTAGCCAAATAGGTAATTAAAAGTTTTGGCTACTAATAATTTAGTAGCTAAAACATAGCTCAAAATGTTTTTGCCACCAAATAATTAGTAGCTAAAAGATTTGAGAATGAGAGAAAGAAACTATTGGCGACTAATATTTTAGTGGCCAAAACATACCTTTTGCCGACTAAACTAAGATTAGTAGCCAAATGTGTACTTTCGGCGACCAATTATTTAGTAGCTAAAAGTGGTACCTTCCCCGACCACAACAAGTTAGTAGCCAAAAAGCCTCATTCGGCGACTAATACTTTAGTGGCAGAAATATACCTTTTGCCAACTAAACTAAGATTAGTAGCCAAATGTGTACACTTTCGGCGACCAAACAAATTTTAGTCACCAATACTATCGCCGACAGGGTAAAGGCGACGAGCTTAGCGACGAAAAATTTTGGTCGCTAAATCGTTTCGGCGACTAAATAAGTGACTTTTGGCGACCAGTATTTTGGTAGCCAAAAGTGACATTTCTTGTAGTGAATACTGAATTGGAAATCATCTTAGTGATCAAAAGAAATAAAACAGAAAGAGCTCTTTTGCCTCCTGGTCAGAGCCGGAATAACTCACATGGAGGAAGTCCGTTTGAGACACAAAATATGTGCCTTTAGTATTAGATTATTGTCAAAGATCAGAAAAAGTAAAATCTAAAATACAATAATTATTAAAAAATAAAGAGAAGCAAGTATGCTTTCATTTATCATGAAGAGATGCTTTGCTTTGCTTGTACTGCACGCTCATAAATGGGTGGATTTATTGTTCAAAAAAGGGTAAAAATAAAAAATACATGAAAAAAAAAAAATAATAATAATAAAGAGAAAAAGTGCTGCATCAATGCACCGAAAAAGAAAAAGAACGTGATGATTCGTGAATTTTTTAAAATATGTTTCAGGATTGCGTTAAAAATTATTAGATAACTTTTCAGATCAAATGATCAAATAATTCATAATTTTGAAACTATGGGCCTAGCACTAAATGGGCCGCTCTGGGTTGAACAGCACTTTTTTCAGCCCAACTTATTAGTCCAGATTAGGAGAACTGCACGCCCACTGAGGAATCTCTCTCTCTCTCTCTCTACAGAGAAACATTTATATACATGTGCTATATAAATGTTTGTTTATGTGTAACATTTGATGCATTGGAATTTTACTTTTGTGTGAAATGTAAAAGAAATGAATTTTTATTTTTGGTTTTGTTAAAAACACTATAAATTTGGGTGATTGCTTCAGTGTATTACAGAAACAATAGCTCAATTGATAATCAATGCATATTAGATTTGCAAGTGTGAATGCTTTTTCTGATCTTGATACAAATTGGCATTAGGCACAACGTTATGGTTACCAAGTTATGGCTAAAGCCACTCACTAACCCATTTGTTGATAGCATAACCATCATATATATGATTTGATTGAGAATTGAAAATTTTATAGATCAAAGTGCAAATGATATTTTGATGAATTTCAAAAATTGAGATACATTGGATCAGTATAATACATTACCATTGTGCTTCATTTGGTTGGTGTGATGGAAAATTAGGAGGAATGAGAAGGTTGAGGGATATAGTTAAATAATGATTTCACAGTTGAACATTTAGATTGTGGTGAACTAGGTTTTCATAGGAGTTACATCATGAACTTTTCAGATTGTGGAATTTTGGCGCTTCATATTATTTCTTATTCCCTATCCGAAGTAAAACATCACGAGTTAAAATGAAGACTCAAAACTCTGTTAGTACAACACTTGTTAGCGGGTGTTGCATATTTGAAAATGTTGCTATCCCTAGTGCTTAATTGACTGCATTAGTTAGGAATTGACTTGCATCCTAACAGAAGCTCGTATAAATGCTAACTATTTTTTATTTATGTTGAAGGTTAAACTCTACTCAAAGCATAATAGGAAAACCAACTGAGCAGATTGAAGCAGACATAAGGCTCGCCAAGTACTTTAGTCCAAGTGAAGCAGTTGAATATGGCATTATTGATAAGGTACCGCTAGTCAAAACACTGAATTTGTTTTTATCTGGCTTTCAGGTGTGAAAGAGGCACAACTTAATTAACCGTATCTAATACTAGACCATGATTCTGATGAATATTCAAGTAAAATAAAAGTTACTTTCTTGTCGTTGTCCCATACATTATTTCACGTATAATTACTTTCATTTCATGCATGACGAAAAGATTCTTTCAAATAGATCAGCAGTAACAATCAGTAACCCCTTTTACCATCAATTAGTTAAGTCGAGACAAATATTCTTCTTTCCTGTCAACTTGTGGCGCGTATTGTTACCTTCGGACCACAAAATCTATACAAACTCATGCTACTGTTGTAGGACAGTTTATCCTTGAAAGTAAAAAATTTGGACCGAGAAAGGGTTTTTCTTCCCCTTCCTTCAGTACTCCTCCCACTTTTTTTTTTTTTTTTTTTTTTTTTTTTTTTTCTTTTTTTGTTGGAGAATTTGTTTTATCCAGGGAAGGATGGAAACTTCTTGTTTGTAAAATAATTGAATTGAACCTTTTACTGTGATTTGTACTCACTGGTGCCAATCATTTGCCTTCTCTCTTTTACCACTCACCATTACACCTGTTTTTGTGTTAGAAAAGTAATTGCTTGTTCTTTTCATGGCACTTGCCAACTTCACTAATGTTGCTCTCTCTCTCTCTCTCTCTCTCAATGATTTAGGCAAAATAGCATCTGGAAGGAACGGAGTAGCTGATTTGACTTCTATGGTAGTTCTCTTTACACCTTGCTCCTGCTTTTTGATTATTATCTTCTTTTCTTCTTTTTTTTTAATCAGCAAACAAAGGAAGTATATAAATATTAAAACACAATTACAAAAGAAGCATCCAGCATAGCTAATTGAAACCAAACAAAAATGGCATCAAAAAGCTAGCCCAACACCCGTTAACAATACAACAGTCGGTGAGAAACCAACTAGAGGAACCACAAAATACCAACCAAAATCAGTAAAACAAAGTAAACCTCAAATCACCACCCAAAACCAAAGAAAAATAACCAAAACAGAGGAGAAGAAGACACCAGCAAAAGAAGGAGACACCGACAAGTAGAAAACAACCAGCAACAGGCACCATAAAATGGCAGCAGATCAGAGAAACACCAGCAGCAGATCAGAAGTAGGCACCAGAAAATTAAGTAGAAAACAAGTACCTCAAACCACCACCCAAAACTAGGGAAAACAACCAGCAGCAGCAGGGATGCACCACTTCAAAATAGATCAGAAAACACCAATCATCCGAATAGAAAAGAAATAAGAAATTAGGCTAACAACACTCCAGCAGCTGCACACAGCTTCAACCTATCCCTCTTCTACAAAACTTAATTTGTTGTAAGTTAAACAAGAAATCATTGATAGAGAAAGGCAGCTTCCGGTCAGCAGCTCTAACCCACATAGCAGTCCTGGATTTAATTAGATCACATAGACCATACAAATCTGGTTGCAGATCAGAAAGCAGCACCTCATTCCTGTGTTTCCAAATAGACCACAAGGAAGCAATAGGTAACACATTCCAGACTTTTCTCTCAAAACTATTACCCGAAAACCCAGCCCAGAACTGTAAAACTCCATCCACTGTTGCCGGCATAACCCACTATGACCCCCACTAGAGAAAGATATCAGCCCACACCCTTTAGACAAGAGGACACCACAACAGCACATGATTGACCGACTCTGCTTCAGCTTTGCAAAACACACATTGGGTATTAACAGTAGTAGGAATGACACCAATCCTCTGAAGGAAAGAGGACGTTTTTAGCCTTTGCCTCCAAGCTAGCCACACAAAAGCTTTTTCTCTAGGAGTAAAGACACTTTGCCAAATCATCTTGGAGATAGTAACATAGTCAGTAGATTGTAGACTGTTCTCATACCACCTATAGGCTGATGATACGCTGAAACAACCAGAGTTTTCAGCCCCCCAACAAAAAGCATCAACCTTATCAGCTCTCAACTCACAAGTGTTATTTACCAAATTAACCAAACAAACCACCTCTTCCTTTTCCCAATCTCGGAGCATTCTATTAAAGCATCCCTCCCATTCATATAGGCTCCTTCTTAATTCAATCACTTGCTTAACTGTTTCCAGCTTGTCAGGAGAGATACAATAGAGTCGAGGAAAATCATCTTTTAGACACCTACCACCAGCCCACCTATCCTCCCAAAAAAGAGTTCTATCCCCATTGCCAACCGATATGAAAGTATTGCTAATAAAGAAACTGTGCAGGGAAAGGGTGGAAGCTGCCGCAGAGAGTATGTCCTTCCTAACCGGGAATGCATCTGAGAGGCTTCTGTGTTAGGGTACCACTTGCTGCCTTAGATGTTATATTTCCCACATAAAACTTTCTTCCACAACAAATTCTCATCACCGCCAAACCTCCACCACCACTAAGACTCTTGATGCCTAACCCTCCTTTAATAACACTTCTAGTGACTTCGGACCATTTAACCATGTGTATCTTGCTCTTAATCACAGATCCACCCCATAGAAAAGCGGCTTGAATCTTGTCTAACTCTTTAGCAACTCCTTCAGGCATCTTAAATAGTGAGAGCTAATATACTGGGAGGCTAGACAAAACTGCTTTGATAAGAGTTAATCTTCCTGCAAGGGATAAGAACCTTCTTTTCCAACTAGCCAACTTAACTTTAACTCTATCCACAACAGGCTTCCAAGTCTTCAATCTCCCTGGATTTGCCCCAAGAGGCATCCCAAGGTACTTAAATGGAAGCTTTTAACACTTACAATTCAGCCTTCCAGCAATTTCAGCCAACAAGTCATCTTGTACTCCAACTCCAAAAATCACACTTTTATGATAATTGATCCAGAGCCCGGAAATTAGTTCAAAACATCGAAGAATCCTCTTAATATTCACCACTTCCCCCCATTCTGCCTCACAAAAGATAACAGAATCATCAGCAAATTAAAGATGGGACACTGAGATTTCGTTAGCCCCAAGAATAGCACCCTTGAATAAATTTAACTCCCTAGCCCTGGTCAACAAGATGTTAAGGCCCTCAGCTACCATATTGAACAGGAAAGGGGAGAGAGGATCCCCTTGCCTCAGGCCTCGAGATGGACTAAACTCCGATGTAGGGGAACCATTCAGCAGAACTGAGACTTGAATATTCGATATACACTCCTGCACCCAAGCCAGCCACTTTGCTCCAAAACCAAAATTCTTCATCATAGATAGCAAAAATGACCAATTAACAGAGTCATAGGCCTTTTCGAAATCAAGTTTCTGAATAATACCACTTCTTTTGGTTTTCTTCCACCACTCAACAATTTCATTTGCAATTAAAATCCCATCGAGGATACTTCTACCTCCCACAAACGCTGACTGCTCTTCACTAATTATTCTAGGCATCACCATCTTTATTCGGTTAGCCAAAACCTTAGAAAAAATCTTATACACAGACCCAATTAAACTTATTGGTTGGTAATCCCCAAGACTAATAGGATTCTCCTTCTTAGGCACTAACGTAATGAAAGAACTGTTTATCCCGCCCACCAATTTACCATACCGGTGAAAGTCTTGCATAAACTAAAGAACCTATTTCTTTACAACCTTCCAACATTTTTGAAAAAACAACATAGTAAATCCATCTGGCCCCGGAGCTTTATTCCCATCACAACTTCTCACTGCCGCCCAAATTTCTACCTCAAAAAATTCTGCCTCAATGTAGTCCGCAACTACTGTACTGCCTATAGATTTAAAACTACCCACCAATTTTGGCCTAGAACTCCACCCTTTCGTGAAATAAGCTTTGAAAAAAATTAAACACTTCAAGTTTAACTCGAACTTGCTCATTATATACAATTCCATCAAAGTTCAAAGAGCCAATGGCATTTCTATTATGCCTACAGCTTGCCATGACATGGAAAAATCTGGTATTTTTATCCCCTTTGTGCGCCCAGTTTAGCCTTGATTTTTGAAGCCAAATCCATTCTTGCATCTTACTTAATTTCCACACCTCATCTCTGATTTCCCTTCTACTCAATTTCTCCACATTAGATAGCTCTCTGGTTTCAGTTATCAAATCTAATTCATGTAATTTCTCATCAACACGCTGTAGCATCACAGATATACTACCAAACACTTCACTATTCTATCTCTTCAAAACTTGTTTAACCTGTTGGAGTTTTTTAAGCATTACAAAACCACCCCAGCCAGTGATTTGTGAATCTTCCCATACCTCCCTAACCTCTTTAAAGAATGTAGGATGAATAATCCAGGCATTCAAAAATCTGAATGGTTTAGGGCCCCAATCCCTATCATCCTCCATTAGCAAAATTGGACAGTGATCAAATACAATTTTTGGTAACCGCCACAATTTAATATTGACGCTTTCAATCCATTCAGGGTCCAACAGAAACCTATCAATTCTACTCCATATTGCGCCCTCCTGAGCATTACACCATGTAAATTTTCTTCCAATCATTGGGATATTTGTGAGCTCACACGTATCAATAAAGGCATTGAACTCTCTCATTTCCCTATCCCTCCTTGACACACCTATACACTCACTAATCAGTCTAATTTCATTGAAATCCCCCCCCATACACCAAGGGCTAGGAAAAATACTTCTAAGCTGTTTAATAACTTCCCACAACCTCCCCCTCTTACTAACATCAGTAGGAGCATACACATTCATCAAAGCACAATTAAATGCATTATAAATAGTACCTTTTAGAAGAAGGAAATTCCGGTTACCACAACATTCCTGCAGTTGAAAAAATTCAGGATCCCAGACACAAATTATGCCACCCGCACTACCTTGTGATCCAACCTCCATATATTCAAATCGAGCACTTCCCCAGATGGATCTAATATCCCATTCTGATAACAGCGATCTCTTTGATTCTTGTAAGAAAAGCATCCCAATCTTTCTTTCCTTTACTAATTTCTTGATTTTACCCCTCTTTTCTGGCCGACCCAACCCTCTAATATTCCGCGAAAGAATCTTCATTAAAACAGCTAATCACACTTTAAAGCACCTACAGATTGGTTTACCCAGATGTACCAATTCGAACCCCTACTTTTTCTTTGTCCTGCTATTCAAGCTGCACAATACGATTAACAATACTTGCTTCGTCTTGCCCCAACTCCACCCCAAGTAATTTATCCATACGCAGGGTTGCCTGAGCTTCATTTAAAATCAAAGCATCACTTCTAGACCTGCTATTCCATCGGTTAGCTAGAGATCTGGACAGAGCTGCTAAAGCCGATCTGAACAGAACCTCTTTTTGGGAATTTCATCTTGCTAATGACTCACTTTGCCCTCTTCTTCTTGAATAAGTTGGCAGCTTCGAACTTCTCTGCCTGTGTCGTGCCTTCTTACGAGCTGAGGAAGCAGCTTTCAACAGTTGTTGTGTAGATCCCAAAACTTGTTTAACCTGTTGGAGTTTTTTAAGCATTACAAAACCACCCCAACCAGTGATTTGTGAATCTTCCCATACCTCCCTAACCTCTTTAAAGAATGTAGGATGAATAGTCCAGGCATTCAAAAATCTGAATGGTTTAGGGTACCAATCCCTATCATCCTCCATTAGCAAAATTGGACAGTGATCAGATACAATTTTTGGCAACCCCCACAATTTAATATTGAAGCTTTCAATCCATTCAGGGTCCAACAGAAACCTATCAATTCTACTCCATATTGCACCCTCCTGAGCATTACACCATGTAAATTTTCTTCCAATCATTGGGATATTTGTGAGCTCACACGTATCAATAAAGGCATTGAACTCTCTCATTTCCCTATCCCTCCTTAACACACCTATACACTCACTAATCAGTCTAATTTCATTGAAATCCCCCTCCCCAAGACACCAAGGGCTAGAAAAATTACTTCTAAGCTGTTTAATAAATTCCCACAACCTCCCCCTCTTACTTACATCAGTAGGAGCATACACATTCATCAAAACACAATCAAAGGAATGATAGATAGTACCTTTTAGAAGTAGAAAATTCCTGCTACCACAACACTCCTTCAGTTGAAAAAATTTAGGATCCTAGACACAAATTATGCCACCCGCACTACCTTGTGATCCAACCTCCATATATTCAAATCGAGCACTTCCCCAGATGGATCTAATATCTCATTCTGATAACAGCGATCTCTTTGATTCTTGTAAGAAAAGCATCCCAATCTTTCTTTCCATTACTAATTTCTTGATTTTACCCCTCTTTTCTGGCCGACCCAACCCTCTAATATTCCACGAAAGAATCTTCATTAAAACAGCTAACCACACTTTAAAGCACCTACAGATTGGTTTACCCAGATGTACCAATCCGAACCCCCACTTTTTCTTTGTCTTTCTATTCAAGCTGCACAATACGATTAACAATACTTCCTTCATCTTGCCCAAACTCCACCCCAAATAATTTACCCATACGCAGGGTTGCCTGAGCTTTATTTAAAATCAGAGCATCACTTCTAGACCTACTATTCCATCGGTTAGCTAGAGATCTGGACAGAGCTGCTGAAGCCGATCTGAACAGAACCTCTTTTTGGGAATTTCATCTTGCTAATGACTCACTTTGCCCTCTTCTTCTTGAATAAGTTGGCAGCTTCGAACTTCTCTGCCTGTGTCGTGCCTTCTTACGAGCTGAGGAAGCAGCTTTCAACAGTTGTTGTGTAGATCCCCTTTCTATCGCCCCACTGCTACCTTCATGGGCCAGATCCTTTGTATGACTAAAGTTCTGACCCACTAATCCAAACCCAGTGCCCTGACTGGAATATGGCCCTATCGGCCGACCAAGCACAAATTCTCCCAAGTGGGCCTGAGAAAAACGCACCTCTAATTGGACTTCAGGCCAACTTTTATCCGTTACACTCAAGCTCTTCATAAAGCCAGATGTAATCACGTGCCCATCCAGCTGCCCTTTGAGCCTCACACCTATATCATCATTACACATTTTCGCAGATGTCGATTCTGAAACAACCATCTTATCGGAGCCTTTATTTGAATTTCTAACCCACTAATCCAAACCCAGTGCCCTGATTGGAATATGGCCCTATCGGCCCACCAAGCACAAATTCTCCCAAGTGGGCCTGAGAAAAACACACCTCTAATTGGACTTCAGGCCAACTTTTATCCGTTACACTCAAGCTCTTCATAAAGCCAGATGTAATCACGTGCCCATCCAGCTGCCCATCGAGCCTCACACCTATATCATCATTACACATTTTCGCAGATGTCGATTCTGAAACAACCATCTTATCGGAGCCTTCATTTGAATTTCTAATGCTTTCCACAGTCTCAGCCACCACCGATGCATTCTGCCAGCTCACACTTCCACCACTTCCCACTTCACTTAAGCTAACCCGTTGGGCCTTGTCCACATCAGCTTGTTTGTCCACTACATCCTCCATATTTGGTGCCACCTCAGCTTCACCTTCATCCCTGCCATGGCCGAAGACTGAAACACCATTACTTTTCCATCATTACAGCTGTTACAGCTGTTGGGTTGCAATGAGAGTGATTGAAGAGAGGCCTTGTTGGTTGGTAGAATGGTTATACCTTTTGTTGCTCACTAATCCGTCCCTCTTTCATCCCCACCTCACCAAGTGTAGGAAGGAGATTTTGAGTCATAGTGTTGGAACTATGAATCACACACACCGATGCTTTAGTTTCTCAATCCCAACAGTGTATTATTTTTCATATTTTAAGTGGATATGACCCACCAATTGAAAGAGCACGGTTGTGGTTCACACTACTCACGTATATTCAAATTTTGGAATGGATTATCTAAAACCATCTTTCGAATTTTCTTTTCATTTTTTGCAGTTTTAACAGCTTTGTGATTGTTTTTTGTAATGTTATGATTTGATCTTAGATATGTGGAGTTAATAAAAAGGAAACAGAAAAGATGGAAAAATAAAATGAAGTTAAAGAAGCCAAATTCTTTCTTTTGTTTGGTTAATTCCATTTTATTGTTTGGTTATCCATTGCAAAAGAATGTGAATATATATAACTAATATCATTTTACTTTCATTTGGAAAATCCAATATGCAAAGACAGAAATAAATAAAAAAGAAAAGAAAAGGATAAAAATAAAAGGAAAAAAAATAGAGAGAGAGAGAGAGAGAGAGAGAGAGAGATTATTTTTACCATTACTGTTAAGGTTGTGAGATTTGGAGTATTGTGGTTGAATTTTTCTCTGTTTCTCTCTCTCTTTATTTTTAATTTGTTGGTTGACTTCATTCCTCTTATCATTAATTATCTCTCTCTCTCTCTCTCTCCTCGGCATGCAGAGGCGGATCAGATTGGGAAACTAAAGGTGAAAGTCATTTGCAAGTGCACTAGGGTTTCAGTTTCCTTACTTGTTTCAGCCTCCTTTTGGGGAATTTACACTTTTTACACACTCAGCTTGCTTCAATGAGGACAATTTCAAACTGAATACAAGAAGAGCTCAAAAACTTCTAACATGAATTTGCCATATCTGAACCTTTTTTTTAAAAAAAAATTGCTTATTCACATCTCACCCATTTTTTTCTTTTTTTATTTTTCCTTTCAAAATCTCTATTCAAATCTATAATTCAAACATAGCTTAAGATTTATCAACAAAAAACAATCACCACAACTTGTTCAGTGCTCCTCATTTTCTTCTTATTCTCACTTTTCTTGTTCATGCACACATTACACAAGCATATTATTTACTATTAAGGCAACCACTTACATAGGTAATGTATTAGGAAACTTTTTTTATATAATACATTAATGTCACTAGATTAAAAATGGTCTCGACCTCTCTTAATGCTAATGATGGGAATGATGAGGAATTAAGATCCTCCACGGAATTAAATTTAATCTTATAAATTTTAAAATTCTTAAATTAGTATTTCAATCTCATTTGCTAAGAGGTTCCCAAATGGATGGCCAGGATTAGAAATCACCTACTCCAAATGTGACACAAAATTGGCTTCACCAATCTTTTTTCTTTTTCTTTTTTTGGGGTTGTTGGCTACATATTTTGTAAAAGCCAATTACAATTCAACACGTGGCAGAATAAAGGTTATACAGGAAGAATGTTTAAGTCTTCGATCATGATCGTACACGTGGCAGTTGATATTGTTTATTGCGTGGTCCGAGTGACATTGGATCAGCAAAGAGATACAAGGTGACGTGGCTTCAACGGTTACTCACATTCAAATTCAAATATAGGAGGGAAGCCCAACTGCAAGTGATGGCGTAGTGGAACTACTTATAAGGCAGCATGATTAGCGATCACGGAGGAGCAGTTCGACGGTTTGAAGTGCAGCTCGATGGTCATCTTTGAGGAGTATAAATAGCAGGGAAGACCCCAGAAAAAGCCCCCAGACTCAGATCCAACCCAGTCTTACTTTACATATTTTTCTTTCCAGTTTTACATTTCCAATCTTTTACATTTCCTGTTCTTTAAATTCTTGTTCTTTACATTCCTGTACTTTGAATTCCTGCACTGCACTTCATTCATAGGAGTAGTTTTAAGTAGATTGTCGATGTAAACCTCTGCGAGGCTGAGTTTGGATCATTGTAAGTTTTCATACTAATGAAATACTTCAATTGCTCTTTATTTAACTGTTTTTGTGCTTAAATTCTCCTAAATCAAGCCACCGGTAAAAGTCCTCTTCATTGAGGCTGAAAGAACTACAACACAATCGTCTGATAATTGATTGGCAATTAAAATTCTGTAAGGACTGATTGATCCTTGATGGTACTCTCGCAATTACAAAAATAACCTTTGAAAGCCAAAAAGCCAACATATATTTTTGGCACGCCTGGTGGGACTAATTGAAATGGCTAAACGTAAGAGACAAGGAGAAAATGAAGGCTTGGAAGAAGGCGTGGAAGGAGAGGTAGAAATACCTAATCCAGGGGATAATGTGATAACACATCCTGTGGAAACTCCTATTTTATCAGAACCTATGGTCGAACAGACCAGCACTTCGGTGCAAGAACCACATGTTCATAGTATTGGACGAAACCAAGGAATTGGATCATCCACTGTTCCATCTACTCAGCCAATAAATCCATGTGATGGCCTAGTAGATGCCATGGGACAGCAATTAATGAACACAATGGAAAGGTGGGCAACATCCTTTTTGGATTGAATGAATAACCACCAACCAACAAATGCAAGACACATAGAGGAAGTAAATGTCCCTCAGCAAAGATTGGCTAGAGATAAACAGTCTATGCAAGTTAATGGACATTCTAATGGCCAAACTAGTAATCAGAATTATGAAAGACCACCACCTCAGTCTTGGTACGAACCCATTTCGAGGCCTATAACATGCCAAAATGCCTCAATGTTTAACGGTGAAGCCATACAAGTTGGTGGATCTTGCCTAGTACAAGAAAATGGCATAAGAATGGTTCCAAATCCCACGTTCGAAGCCATACCTGGCACTAGGGGGTACAATAATCCCTTATTCAAATTTATACCCTGGGGGTTGGAAGGTTTTCCCACAAATGGAAAGGACACAACACCTGTTCCAGCACCTTTCGCTGGTCCCTTCGCAAGACAGACTCTAAAGGGTTACCCACACCCCCAACAGCAACCTGCACCACAGGGACAACCAGTCCCAAATGTACCACCCTATGGACTAAGAGGACCACAAGCACAAGTTTGTCCACCAAATCCTATGTTTGTCCCCCCAGTAGTGGTTCAGTAGGCACAAAATATGGTCCCTAGGGACCAAATTGCTGATATTGTTAGGGAGATGTGTGGACCAATGGCTCGGGGGGTCCAAACTCCTGTGTACAGAAAACCATACCCAGAATGGGTCGACAGGGTACATGAATACCCAAGAGGTTTCAGGATACCAGATTTTGTCATTTTTTATGGGAATGGAAACCAATCAACAGTAGAGCATATTGCTAGGTTTGCTGCTCAATGTGGTGAATTTACTAATCATGACTATATGAAGTTGAGACTATTCCCAAACTCTCTAACTGGGGGAGCATTTGTATGGTACACTAACCTTACACCTGGCTCTATTCAGACTTGGCAACAAATGGAAGAGGCATTTCATGCCCAATTCTTCCAATCGGAGCCAGAAGTTTCCATGGCAAACTTGGCAAGATTGAGTCAGAGGCCTGAAGAGAAGGCTACTCAGTTTATTGTCAGATTTAAAAGGGCTCGAAATAAATGTAGAGTTATCCTACCAGAGCCAGAATTCGTAAGATTGGCCCAAAATGGCTTAGAGTTCAGGCTTCGAAAGAAGTTTGACTCAACTGAATTCAGAGACCTAGTGGAACTAACCTATAAGGTGTCTAGGTATGAAGCATTACTAGAGGGGGAACAAGATCGAAATAATGCATTGTACAAGACATACTATAGAGATCCTAATTATGAGATCGATGCAGCAGAGATTGTGGGAAAATAACCTATAATCTGTGAAGCATTAATTCATAAGGATACAACAATTGATCAACAATTTAAAAAGAAAGACCTTCATAGGAAGTACTCTTTCGATTTAACTAAGGCAGATGACATTTTTGATCATTTGCTTGCGGCTAACTTCCTTAAGTTACCAAAAGGAGTAAAACTTCTATCTCCAGATGAACTTAAGGGAAAAGTCTATTGTAAATGGCATAACTCTTGGTCTCACTCGACTAAAAACTGCATTGTTTTTGAGACAAGATCCAAGAACAGATTCAGAAAGGAAGTTTGAAATTCCCAGCCAAAATAGAAAAGGCCATGGGGATCGACGGTAATCCATTGCCAGAGGTTGGAGAAAGCGCAACTAATGTTGTTGTACCAAACTTCCAGAATTTATCTCTACAGCAATTGGAAGAGGTCAATGTGCAGATGCATATTGCCAATCAGACAACTACCAAGAAGAACATCAGAAATCTACCAGCTATTGGATAAGATTTCTCACACCAGAGGGAAGACTCTGATGAAGAAGCACTGGATGATGATTCCTTAGAGGCAGCCGTAATGCAGAGGATGTGTCCCAGGTGCAGACTGAGTTATAAGTGGTTGAAAGGCCTTCCAGTTGATGGGAAGCAATATTACAGGGATGTGCAGAGGCATCCCAAACCAACCAATTCTTATAATAAAAAGCCGTATCCGGCTAGTGTTAGGCAACAACCATTAGTGGTTGAGCCTGTAGTAGATAGAATGCATGCTAAAGGCAAGAGGCCCTTATATGAGTCCAGGCCACCTAATTATTACCGAATGGAGAGCAGTCATTCTGAAAGAAGACTGGAGAAGAGTTCAGGTTCTGGGATCAAAGCCAGAGATTGGCCCCCTAGACCAGCCTCACGCAAGACAGAAAGTGGTCACCTTCGTCGAAGGCCTGAATCAGGTTCGAAACTTGAGGTCAGAGGCAAGCAATTGCCTTCACAGTCAGCTTCGAAGATGGTTTCAAAGGAAGAAAATAGCAGCTTAACATCTAGGTCAGTAAGTTCGTGGATACCAGGAGTTCCAGATTGGTTTGTGATGCAGAACAAACCTAGGAAAGTGCCTACCCAAAGGGACGTTGGAAACCAAGGTAGGATGGTTAAGCCTCCTTTGGCAGCCCCCAACAATTGGGTATTGCTTAAACACCCAAAAATGAAAGAACCAGATATGGTCCCCGTAATTTCCAGATCACAAAGGAGGAAAATTTAGCGTAGGTACACCCAGTACCAGCAAGACCTGAAAGCAAGTGGAGAGAGTTCTTCATTGATCCAGACTGAAGGAAAGAAGAATCCAAAGTCAGACCATACTCCAAAGCCAACTCTACAAAGCAAGGTGGGTTGCAGCAGAGAACAGTTGGCTGAGGTTCATTCTGAACTAAAAGCCAGAGAGAAGGCTAGCTTAGCAGGATTGGAGAAAGCTCTGATGGAGAGTGGTAGCGAGACAGAAGAAGAAATTGGCATAAGCCAAAAGAAAGAAATGGTGGAAGAAGAAATGTTCGAAGCCTTCATGGGCGAGCAAACATTTTTGGTTGAAAAACCAGTCGAGGAAAACCATTCGAAGGAACCTGTTAGCAATGAAGTGCCAAAATGTAGCATGCAGGATGCTTCTGAGGTAACTGATCAAGGTAGCCAAGAGGGGAAACAGGTACAGCCAGCCATCCAGTGTGGCTCATTTCCTCCAGTATCAGTGAATATGGTGTATATACTACCTCATGAGTTCCAAGCTGGAGACGAGAACCAAGATGATCAAGAAATTGACCCAATTCCAGTCTCTAGTGAAGACTCACAAGTGAGTATGATACAGGATAATTTCAGAATGGCTACCCCAATGGAAACTGAATATGAAAGCGAAGAAGAGATGAGCATTAACCTCTCATATCCTTTTGAGTATCCCTCGAATTCTATGACACAACATGTCAAGCCTTTGTATATCAAGGCTTTCTTCGATGGGATACAATTGAATCGAGTCCTGATAGATAATGGGGCAGCAGTAAACTTACTACTGAAATCTTCTTTGAAGAAACTAGGGAAAAAGAATCCCAGGTTGATCCCAACCAGCACAACCATTGCTGGTTTCACTGGAGACAAACAGATGGCTCAGGGAATTCTACCCATTAACCTGAGTGTGGGAACCAGGGACTACATGAGAGCATTCTTCGTAATCGGCAGTAATGCTAAATACAATGCTTTACTTGGGAGAGATTGGATTCACACTAACAAATGTGTGCCTTCCTCTTTGTATCAGAAAATAATGATGGCTTTGGGCAATGGAGAGACAGAGGAAATTGATGCAGATCCTCAACCCTTCATAGCCTGTGCAGACTTCGCAGAGGCAAAATTGTATATTGAGGGAGTGACACCACTCAGTATACTGAGGAAACCTGATGGCTCAGCCGAAGTGATGGCTGATGAGGAAGTGACACACCTGAAGCACTTAGTCCGGGAGAGTACTGATGAAGAGGTTGTCGTTAAGGATGACAATGATGCCTAGTTGTAGGCAAAGAAATGAAGTCCAAGAAGCCAAATCTTTGGCTCTAATTAAATTCTCAACCTTGGATGTAAAATCAATAGTCCAGAAAGTACAGGAGCAAGAGAGAGAAGCCATGATAATTGGCTGCAAACAGGAGCAGCAGCAGGCCAGAGTTTTGGCCCTTGGTAAATACTGTACATTGGACATTGAAACAAAAGTCTAGGAAATACAGGAAAAAGAAGCCTTATGGACAGATTTTGTCTATGAGGAGGAGGGTAAAGATGTTGAAATAAGGAACCTGGGAACAAAACAAAGCAAGGAGGTTGCTTCGAAGCTAGAAGAAATCAAAGAAGAAACT